CCGGAGAAGAACTGTCTAGGTTAGGCTTAGAGCTTTAAGTAACCGTGATCGTCTGCTCGAAAAAGCTGTTAACCTCCATAGATTGGGGGGGGGCATGTGTTACACATATCACCAAATAGGTTGCTACGGCGCGCGATGTTTTCCGAGGCCAGTAGTGGGTGAAATGAAGCGAAGGGTGGCCAAAATGAGACCTGGAACGAGCGTGTGAAAAGCCTAACCAAGAGACTATATATATATATATTTAACACCGGCTTGCGGACAAGCATGGTGCTAACGCCGAAAAAAGGTTGGTAGATTGGGATACAGAACATAGCAAAAAGACGGAACCGATAAAATGGGAATAACAAATAATTGAGATTACAATTTTTTCGTGTTTCATCGTACGCTTGAAATTTTGATTGTGTTAGTGTCTTTTTCCTTATGCGGTACGAAATTTTGTTAGGCAAACCGTAAAGCATTCGCGCCACTGACTTCTATTATGGACCATATCTCTCAGCGTCTCTAACCAACGACAATCCTCATCTCTTGGGCTCCAACCTTGAAGGCGGGCTGCACCAACCGAAGCCAAAGCTGAAGCCAGCCTCTTTATACCTCTGCGCCATGTCATGGTCTGGCCGCCGCGGTGCTTCTTCCAGCCTTGCCCGACACGTGCAAAGAGAACGCGGAAAAGTAGTCGATGGGCAGGCATACACAATACGTGACCAAGCCATCGGAGGCGGTGTAAAGCGATTACTTCTATTAGAGGACGACTATCCACACCCGAAACACGACGACGGATCTCGTCATTGCCCACCCGATGTTCCCACCAGGAGACTCGGGCAGATAGGTCCAGTTGGACTCCTTGGCTGGGGACTTGGAGATGATTGTAATCGATGGTTAGAGACACTGAGTAATATGGCTGAATGTCGTAAACAATGGCGCTCATGCATCTTCTCAGTTTTTGCGTATCATTAGTCCACTGAAGATCCTCATTTTCTCTTAGACTCTATTTTCAGCTTTCCAGCCTTTCTCCTACTACTTCACCCAAACTAGCAACCAAAAAACCACAATCAAATAACAAATCAAATTATACAAGTAACGAAGTATGAATATAGAATGGATTTTAGAATAGAATGTAATTTATGTCAGACACCAGTGAACGCGAACAAGTCAGCTGCTAGAGGTGACAGTAGCTGTCTCGTTGCTCAGGATAACTAATAAGAATGATTTACCACCGTGGTAGACTATCAGGCACAAAGGACCTGAAACAGAAACAAAGCCTCTAAGCGACTCAAGGCTACTAACGGCCATCGGGCCTTCCTGCGACAGAAGAAAGCGTGAAGTACTGATACAGAGACGCTAGAAAACCGAAGAAGAATGTATTGCACAGAATGCTGACAGTAGTCCCAAAGTGTACTACAGGGACACAATCTGAAGTTTATCTCTTAAAAAAAACACTAGGTCTCGATCGGAAGTGACCGAAACGAGAGGGCATAGGGTAGCCGAAATTCTTTCAGCAAGAAATGCAGAAAGGGACATCACTGCGATGGGATGTCAAGGACAATGTAAAAGATTTACATATATCCAAGGCTGCGAGGCATGATGATATCCATCCAACCATGATTAAACCACTATCGTCAATACAACCTAAACTGTTGTCCTCGCTTTTTAGTGAGTCATTGTAGTATGCGATGCTATCCGAAGACTGATTATAGTTGACGGTCACTGATATGAGGTCTGGTAGTGATAGAGACCACTGTAGAAAAAACAGGGAGGTCAGCCACCATATATCGGCACAATTTCTCGTTAAGAGGATCATGTTTCACTAGGTTGATCAGTTTTCTAGACGAGTTACTTACCGAAGTAGTCATGGGAGAACTATCTCAAGTCTGTTGCTTTGAGTTTCGAAGGGCTTTTGACTCGATCAATAACAGGGTACTCTAAATTAAATTCGAAGTGATCAAGATTGTAGCAAAGAAGGCAGGTGGGTTTCACTATGCCTCAAAAGACGTACCCGAGTGGAGGCATTGGTGCTGTCGGCTCGAAATCAGCCTGTCCGTATTGATTTACCTGTATGATGTAGTTATTAGGCTAGTATACTGAATGGTGCAGGAAAAATGTATCAGGCAAATACAACTCACTAATTTTCTAATACAGTGGTCCACACAAAATCACTGGAGTCTGATAAGCGATCTTACAAATTTCTTTTGAGATAAGAGGGAGGTACTGTATGCTCTTAGTTGTGAACTGCTACACAGGCTGTGGTAGTTGTGTTGTGTATTAAACATGGTTACAATTTATGAATGTTATGATTGACTAGTCAGCCAATGACCGGAAGATAGCCACAGTTGTTAGGACTGACTGGAGCTCTGAATAATTTGATCATTGCGTCGGATCCCGTCGGTTGTGTTTTCCCTTTCGCATGGGATCCTTGAGAGTAACTTGGTTTATGATTGGTCATACCAGGCAACATACCGTTTATGCACCCAGCTTTCCTTGAGTGTCTAGTTTTATCTAGTTCTGTGCCTCTAACTTGGTAAAAATGTCAGTTTTTGTTCTGTGCTGAATATCTTCACTGGTTGACTCATTTACGAAAATCCAAAATGAAATATAGAGTATGGTTGTTCAGAATCTATAGTGTTTGAACTCAGAAACCAGTGTTTCTTTCTTTGAACAGTATCTGTAGTGTTTTTTCTTGTGCCATGTTCATGAAGTGGACGGGCTAGGCTACGTTTCTGTTCCATGCTTCTCACAGACCGTCTCTCATCACCGTCATTCATTATCAGCATTGCGATAGAGGATACGTTCGGCCTAAATCAGCGTTAATTTTATCGTTTGGTGAATGCCGCTGTTCTACTCATTTGAATAGTATGTGACTCTCTCATTCAAAACTTTGATGAAGATTTCATGATATTTTCATATAAATTTCATTTGTTCTAATTTTGACACTTCAGCTATTACCTTGAATCTGTATTTGGGATGCATTAAAATACGTCTCTTTCATTCAAACGGTTTGTTGTTCAAGATATTATTTAGTTTTTCATACTCCACTCATTTCTTACTCACTGATGAATCGATTTTATTTAATGATAAAAACTATAACTACCGTAACTGCAAGATAATATCATAATGAAATTGGACGAAACACCAATGTCTTGAGGTATATTTAAAGAGCGTCTGATTCCAGACTAGATACTCCCGAAAAGTACGGTACCGTGGTCTTCATAACAAGCAACAAGGTCTATGATACTTTCGCAGACGGAGTACTGCGAGGAAAGCGGCATCGATTTACTCCCAGGTGGTAGACTGTCTGATCTAGAGTATGCAGACGACATTGCGCTACTAAGTGAAGATCCAAGTGAGTTGCAAGCTTCTTTGGACAGCTTGAATGCCAGTGTAGCCATGTTCGGTATGCCTTTTGCACCTTCAAAGGGCAAAATGTTGCTGCAAGACTGGGTCGGTCCAGCACAGAGCCTCACTCTAACTGGAGAAGTAATAGAGCAAGTGGATGAGTTTTGTTATTTAGGCAGCTACATCCCACCCGGTGGACGCATCACGGATGAAGCGTCAAAATTTTGCTATCTGGGTAGCTATATCTCACCCGGCGGACGCATCACAGATGAAGTGTCAGTGTTTTGTTGTTTGGGCAGCTACATCTCACCCGGTGGACGCATCACGAATGAAGTGTCGGCGTGCTATCTAGGCAGCTATATCTCACCCGGCGGACGCATCACAGATGAAGTGTCGGCGCGCGCCAGAAGGCTCGATTGGCATTTGCCAACTTGAGACATCTGTGGCGCCGTCGCGACATCCGGTTGTCTATAAAGGGTCGAGTGTATGTCGCAACAGTTCGATCAGTTTTGCTATATGGAGCAGAAACTTGGCCATTAAGAAAACAGGACAAACATAGGTTGTCGGTGTTTGAACACCGGTGCCTACACATCATTGTACGAATCTGGTGGGGCAGTCGGACGAAGAATGCTAATGCTAGGCACAGAGTTTTGGGTAAATACGGTGGCCCACTGGAGCAAGTGGTAAACCTCCAGAGATTANAGAGCGATGTTCGCCGAGGCAAGTAGTGGGTGGAAGAAAGTCAAGGGTGGCCAAACTCAGACCTGGCACGAGGGTATGAAAACCCTGACCAGGGGACTGGGTCACATAGGTCCTGTTAGACTCCCTGGCTGGGGACCTCGGGATGATCGTAACCGATGGTTAGAGACACTGAACGATATGGCTGGGTGTCGTAAACAGTGGTGTTCGTGCATCTTCTCAATTTCTTCGCAGCCATAGTTTACTGGAGTTTTCTGTTCGACTCTACTTTCACCGCGCACGAAAGTGCATGGTTAATGGTTGCTCAAACTGAATCGAACTGAGAGCCTTAGGTGAGCCAAAACCTAACTCTCAAGGCAGCAGATGAACAACCATATGGATAATGCGGTTACATACACTCGTGGAATTGATAATTAAAGCTAACTATCTCGAATCTAAGGTACACTAAGAGGGTATGCTTATGTACAAAGGATCTCTCGGTCTAGGTCGGAAAGCACTTCAGTTTTCTTGTGTTACTTGCGAATTCATGCATAAAATGGAGTTTTATGAGGCTATCTGGTTCGTGCGCTTCCCGTGGAAAAAATCTTTGCTGAAGCTGGAACAGCTAGTATTTCTCTTCGCTCCTTTTGCTAATTCATCTAGTCACCAATTTTGGTTGCTATTACATCTGTCGTAATCGCACCATTTGCACTCAGATATCAATTTTAAAGTAGACCAAACTTATCTCCATCGGTGCTGGATGTTGACATTGCTGATCGGCTTTTTCCCCTGGTGAACCTTATTCATTGCATAAGTTGAGTCTGATGATATTTTTAAACGAATTTCAAATATAAAGGACACTCAGGAACACCTATGGAGCTTTAAAAACTTAAAAACAAATTGAAATTTCTGTTTTGTTTTCACCGCAGCTATACGATTTGCGCAGCTGTGAATTACTTACTGAACTACTGTTATCACCAATTCCAAGGTTGATGCTTGTTCCGCTTGCGCCGACTGTTCGTGGTCCACTACTACCGTCTCAAGTGGATAACACATCGGGTCGTTTCCAGACAGATCCGTGGGTTAATCCGATCACACCGGGGTCTGTTCATTTGTCGGGCCGTAATGAAGATCAGCCGGTCTACGAAAATGGTTACCAAGTTATTGTCCATCGTTCTGCTCCAATACTATATGCATTTGACCCGCGGTTTCTGAATTCGCGTATTGCAATAACAAATTTAAATCCAGATATATCAGACGAGGATGATCTACTGCCGCATTCGGACGAGCTCGGAGTTCTGAAGGCCAGTGTTAGTTTGCTCAAACTGCCCACATGGGAACGTATTGCTACAACTGTGAAGCTCAAATGTTCCACAGCGACAGCGAGACCACTGTCCATGTCTAATCCTTCTCGGTATCATGCCACTAGTGGGCAATCAAATAATCTATCTGGTGGTGGAATGCTCCGCACCGCTCCTAGAAGACGCAGATCATCTGACGTGAATCATGGTGTCGAGCCATTGGTTGTCGCATCCAACCTACCATTTCCCCACATTCTGAACATATTCTACTCTCGAGATGGATATCTTTTGTTCACTGTCTCCACTGATCAAAGGATTTGTAAGTGCTCCACTTTGGGTCACTTCGTATCGGGCTCAAGTTCTTACTGCTCTTCGGCAGACTCAATCGATCTCATGGATGATGTAGGGAGAAACAGCGTTCCAAACCTTCCTCATCGCAGTTCCGATGGAATCAGGCTTTCACATCCCTCGATAGTGCGCGTGCCTGAAACCGCTGGTTTTTATAACCAAGCTCCTGAAGGGAGCAATCATCAGACTTGCACCAGTTTACCTAGGCAGTCGGAAAATGGACGGTATTCAGATGGCACCTATCACTCATCATCATCATCGGCTGCGCTAGCTTCACCTCCACCAGGTTGTACCGCCCTATGGTTGACTATATTCAATTCAGACACTTTGGCGCGGCTCCGTACACTTCGGTTCGACCGTGCCATTTGTCCGATCCACACTTGTCCGACAAATTATATGCCCGTGATGAGTCGTTGTGGTTCTCGGTTAGCTGTCCTAACTAATCAGTACGTGTGCCAGACTGTGGCCAATCCGCGCTCCATCGTTTCTTCCATGTGCTATGGGGAAAGAAGTGCTACTGCTTCGAATAATCTCAGACACTCGATCCCATCAGTCACGGCAGATGTTCTAACCCGAACGAATTTCGGTGGACATCGATCTTCGGAATCGAGAGAAAATCGGTCTTGCACTCATCTTTCTAAACGAGTAAGTCTCACTGTCAATTTCTTCAAAATGCTTTTACATTTCTGGCTTACTTCCCCCTAATTTCTGTCATTGTATGACTGCTGTAAAGACGTACCATGTATGCTTTTCTATGTATTCGCTCATTGTGAAACACTCATTATCACCAACCTATCACTACTTAAAGTTATTGGACTACTAAATAAAGTAAACTGAAGATGTGGTGTTTGACAGTCCAGGTTTTGATGACGAAAATTTCGGGACAATGGTCAACTGAAGACACCCCTGTATGGTTGCCTTACTTCCACGTGTATGTGGCCTATTTGGCCAAAAAGCACAACGAAAGGGATTTATTTATCATTGATTCGACTACATAGTGCCTGAGAGAGAGAGAGTGCTACTCCCGTTCGTGGTTAGAATCTTTCAACCGGCTCGGTTTGTCCAGACCCAACCGGAGTTGGTTCAAAATCCAGCAGAAAGCTATAATTGCCTGTTCAATAATGCTTTTGTCATTGTGTTAGATACTCGGACTGCATTTTCATTGCTCGTTACCCGTTGATGTTAGTTCCCAGGCTGTCAACGTTTGTGGAGATGTTTGAAAAGTGTACCGGTACCATCCAGTGAGTACGAACACAGCATGACCCATTCTCTAAGCACCGTGGTCCAGTTTTGTCATTTCGCGGTGAAACTAACCGCCTAGCCGTTGTGAATGTAGTCCTTTCGGGTGATGTTCGTTGCGATAACTGAGAATGGCATTTTATTTCTCTCTTCGGGAAAGAAATGTAAATGTTTTTCATTAGACCCATAAGAAATTGTGTTTCAATTCTTGTCTAGTTGGTATTCACGCTTGCAAATGCACCCTAGTTGACTACTCACATCTGCTGTTTTTATTTCCGTCATTCAGGACTGAGCGCATAGTTTGCTAATTATGTTTGTAAATTTATACTTCTTCAGGATTGTAATTATGGTGTTCTATGCAACTCCACGTTTATAAGAATCCACCTCAAAACATCTACACATATGCACTTGCATTTGCTGGTCCATTTCGCATTTTGTATGTGCTGCATGTGGTGCGATTGAAACATTAAATTTTCATCGGAGATATATAGATCGGTCTTAGCTGTCAGTTCACGGAACCGTTGTGCAATACTTCGCTTTTGTTCTCCTTTATGATTGCCCGCATTGTGGACATTGGGCCAGGAAAAACGAGCGGTCTGTCGTCGTCTCGCTGCCAGTAAACGCGTACCTTAACGACAAGCCAATGTGTTGCATTTGTGTGTGTGCGTGCGTGCACGTGCACATCAGTTTCATGTTTCGGTCATTGCGCGACTGACCACGTGTGTCACGCGCTGAGATCTAACCAGTGCTCGTGTTACAAACCATCTCCACTTCCTTTTCTGTCCGGATTGATCGATACATTTTGGCCAGTCTCGATTAAGGCGAGAGAGAGAAAGACTGGTGAGCCAGGCGCTTGTGCAACTAGGACCTATTCACTCTGTCATCCTTTTTTTGTGGTATTTTATCGGTTATCTTTCCGTCAGACCAACTGTGCTTCTTTTTTGTCCTAAAAAATGAGCAAAGATGTAGTGCTGCAAGTTACGTCAAATCAGTCGACATAAATCACAGAGCGTTGTATGGTTCACCCATTGCCCGAGAACACGTTTTGATCGGATCAAGAAATTTGGTGTGCTTTTGTACTTTCCCATCACCATATGAGGCTTGAATACAGGTTTAGACCTTAGACAAATCTATGATATATCTGAAGGATGTGAAATGCTTTTAGCATACCTTCTAGGCATCAACAAAAAAGCACATCATAATTTATTAGGTTGGCGGAATCAGCTATGCATACAGTCAGTGTTTGGACTGATGCTTCGTAAATATGCGATTGAGCAAACTTCACCTAATGAGTGGGTTCGGAACGAATGTGGTCAATGTTATGCGGTCAATACTGGCAAGTTGCAGTTATGGACGTGACATTAACGAGCACAGGAGAGTGTCGTATTTTCGATGACTATTTGGGTTACAACCCGGGGAAGCTCTTAGCTGCGACAGGTTAGATGTAAGCAAGATTATCAAGAAAATTCACGGATTAAGGTTTGTTATTTTGTACTTTTCGATCAATCCCAGCGGAGCTTAGAAAGAAACGTGAACTACAAATACAAAAACGCGAGATGCAGTTGAAAGATATCGTTTGTTGACTGTAGGTTACTGAAAGCAAACGACTAACTGACTCACGCATCGGAAATTCGTAAAACTACATTGCTCCTGAAGTATATGAATATATATATATATATATAATGTATATGTATATATATCACTGATACCTTCAATACAGTTGTCGTGTTTGTGTCAAGGAAAACCTATACTAATGACGGTTGAGTAGTGATGATAGCAAGTACCGCCATCGATGATCTCAAAAGTAGCTGCCTCATTTTGTAGGAAAAGTTTTGTGTGAACGGTTAAACCATGCCATCACATAAAACTACCGGTTCACGTGGAAATGTGCATGAATTGAATCAGAATACCGTGTATGTTTCTGCAGATATCCCATTGAGGTTGTGGTCTCCATTCTTCTGTATCAAGGGTGCTGGTTTTGGGTTCCCAGTTGAATGCTGGAAGTTTGATTCTCGCAACTGGGTTAGTGGTCGGGAGNGAGGGGGGGGGGGTAGAATTGGGGAATTAATAGAGCAAGCGGATAAGTTTTTTATTGGGCAACTATATTTTACCGAGTGGACGCATCACGGATGAAGTGTCAGCTTGCATACAGTAGACTTGATTGGCATTTTGTAACCTGAGACATCAGTGGCGCCGTCGCGACATTCGGCTCTCTGTACAGGGTCAAGTTTGGCCAGTTCTGCTGTAGGGCGCAGAAATGTGGCTATTTCGAGAACAGGCTAAGGTGTTTAAACACCGCTGTGTACGCAGCATAACATGAATATGGTGGGGCAACNGGGCAACCGGATGAGAAATGCCGAGGGTAGGCTTAGAGTTTTAGGTAACCGTGGTCGCCTTCTCGAACGAGTGGTCGACCTCCATAGACTACGTTGGTTGGGGTGTGTTATGTATGTCGCCAAATAGGTGGGTGGACTAAAGCCAAGGGAGGTCAAGCTAAGACCTGGTACGAGGGTATGAAAACACCAACCAGGAGGCTCGTTCATATAGGTCCCGTTAGACTCCCTGATTGGGGTCTTGGGGATGATTGTAACCGGTGTTTGGAGACACAGTGATATGGCTGAGTGTTGTAACCTGGCGTTCGTGCATCTCAATTTGTTTACGACCATAGTTTACTGAAATTCTCCATTTTATCTTAGACTCTACTTTCAACTTACCTTTGTTTTTCTTACTGCTTCATCCAAATGGGCAGCCAAAAGACAGCAACCAAAACCCTCTCACTAAGGTGCACGGTTTATATTTGTACGAAATGAAACTGAAACCTTCACGAGAAAAGTTAGGCTTCATGGATGAACCCATTTATAATCACCTGATCTTCGATAAATTAGACTAACCTGATGTTCTCACCATACACGATACAGTTTCAGCCTTTACAATCAATAGCCATGAGCTTTTGTGCTGCGGTTTTGGATGATGTTATTTAAGTAAGAAAGTCGTTTATCTTCACTTCAAGGAAACGATGCATTTGGTGCAATAGACACTGCCCGTTGTTGATATCTCTGTGGCGGTTTAGTGATTGTAGGTTGACGAATATGTGCAAGGCTTTTTTCTGGGGTTTGGGTTGGGTTGGGGTGGATATCACTTGTGAATCTTGTTAGAAGTTAAACGGCTTCCCAGTTAATAATATTTACTACACGTACCAAATGATGTCTACGCAGCACTGTACGAATCTGATGGAGCAACTTGACTAGAACTGCCGAGTTTAGGCGCAGCGGTTTAGGTGATCACGTCACCCACCGGAGCACATGGTTGAATTCCACAAATAGCGTTGACTGGGTTATGTGTTACGCAGTTCACCAATCATATTGCCATATTGTGTGCTGTTTGCCAAAGTGGGGAATGGTTGGAAAAGGCCAATGGTTTCGAACTAAGATTTGGGATAAAAGCATAAAAGCCCTAACCAGGAAACTTTCTCATATAGGTCACGTTAGGCTCTCTGGATAGGGACCTCGGAGTCATTGTAATCAATGGTTAGAGACACTGAGTGGTGATATGGCTGAATGTTATAAACAGTGGTGCTTGTGTATACTTTCACAACCATAATCTACCGGAGTTCGCTATTTTCTCTTCGACCTTGCTTTCAACTTTCCAATCTTATCTATACCCCTTTATCTGGATAGGCTGCCAAAAGACATCATCCGAAACCGGCCCACGAAAGTACACGGTTAGTGTTTGTACAAACTGAAAATGAAACCAAAAAGATTAGAACCAACTGGGGACAAGTAGATTGCACTTTGTCCACCAAAATTCATACAAAAATAGAACCAGTTGCAATCGATACCTAATTGAACATAGTTAAAATACTTAAAAGTCTATTGATTCAGGAAGTAGCACTTGTATTTCCGCTCTGTATGATCGTTGGAAAATGCGGGAAGAATAGTGTGTTTAACAGCAAATTGAAATCGAAAATCAATACTGGAAGCTCTCTGAGCGGTCACTACGCATAATAAACAGATGGCAGTATTGACCCCCGGGATGCTTTTGCACAAACTACCCTGTGGAATTGCAAAACTTTGCTATTAAATGACAAGTCTCTAGTATTATTAAAAGGGAACGAAGTTCTTATCAGACAAGATAATTGCATTCCATTGGTCTGTGGTGTAATCTCCAATTTCATGGGGCTACTAAAGAACCAATCCAAATTTGCAACTACTAATTTGTTGTAAGCATTTACTTTGCTTGTAGTTACGCTTTTCAGATTTGTATGTAAACGGGTATGGTTCGTCGAATCATGGATGCTTATTGACCTAATGTGTCTGGGTTTTGGTATCGGGTCAAGTCAAGTCACGGATAGTGGTGCACACCGATTTTAGACGGCTCTAAATTGTATACAAAGGCTGTTTGTTGTCCGTTTCGTTCCAGCGGTGATCGATGCTAGATTGGAGAATGTGAATAACTTAGGGAATATACTCAAGCAGTGGAAAAAAGTAATTTTGAGAGATTTAATAGAAATTAGTTCACAGGAGAGAACCTAATCCCTAAAGTGATCACATTAAATCACATTAAAACATGAGCTCTTTGAATGTTTTTCTTTGTCCTGTGGGATCTCAGTGACCTTCATTGTGTTATGAGATGCTACTCACATTTTTGTGAATTAAAGGATTGTTCTATTGTAAATACAACTGAGACAAACTGTCGGGTTCATGATTAGCGACGAAAAGACGTTCACGGAAATAATAAAAAACTGTTGCACATCAGATATTTCGCCTTGTATAATTTTACTTATACCTTTACTATGCTATTCTTTGAAATACACAACTCTCCTCTATCCAGACATTTGGACTTGTGGAAAAGTTTGAGGAGGGAAAGTTCATCGAGGAAAAATGACCGCAGCGTAAAAAATGTGTAATGATTGGCTCCAGTTTTTCATTACACATGAGGTGATTTATAAAAAGGAATATAGGCCTCAGGGGGATATACGACATGGCTTAACGGAAGTGGGAGGGAGTGGGTGGAATTTCACAGCATAATTATACTAGTGAAATCATGTCAAATCTAAAGAAATGAGAGAGCTCTCTTTGTGGTGCGCGTTAGCCCGTTCTTTTCTTCGAGCTAATACCAGACAGATTAACGTGTCTGATTATTGTTGTCCAGTGTTTTTAAAATCATCTTACGTTTTGTGCTTTCTAAAGGGGGAGTCATATACCGGGTTTGTGAATGTCTCGAATCGGGCTCAAGACGAGTCCGTTATCGGCGATGGTTTTTTCCAACATATTTTGGCAAACATCACTGCTTATGAATCTTTAGTTGCATGACCTATAGCAGGGACTGTGGTTATTTTGTCAAAGAAGAATTCGATACCAGTCCCGCTGTACTTGTGCAGAATCTTTTCATGATCGTTCTTATGATTTCTTTGATGTTATGTTTAGGAAACCCCAAGCTGTTGTCTTCAAACTCTTTTTTAGTTTAAATCAGTTTTACCTAATCGTTCAATCCATCCTATTTTTTCAAATATTTCAGTTGCAAAAATGAAGAAGTTTGTTCCGTATTTACTATTTTCAAAAAAATTATTCAAACAAATACATTTCAAATACATTTCATTGCTTGAAAATGTCAACAACGCTTTTTCGCTGAAACCCCAAAGAGAGCTCTCACCCATTCTAATCCGTACTCTCAGTTCTCTGTATCTTATTATGTTCACTGTATCAACTGGGACTCACTGGTTTCACTGAGATGTTTCTCCGCTGGTCGTGTGTATTTATTCCTAACTCACGCAACGGAAGCATTTTCGGAACAGATTACAGCGTCTAGATGGGAGAATGTTTGGATTTGAGAATTCAGATTTTCCCAGGCACCAGACACCGCGTCTATTTTCTGCTTTGACTTGATCGTTGCTAAAATAAATAAAAAAGTTTGACCACATGGTCTACTCACACGCCCGGTAGGACTCGGCCTTGAACTAACCCCGGACACCTGTCACTTGGATATAGTTATAGTGTTGACACTATGGAAAATTTCCCTTTGAGCACTCGGCTCATGAAACATTCGGTACGTGGACAATTAATTGAGTTAGTTCACACAACGGAAGGACGCAATGATGACACTGGTGTGAACATCTCGGTTGTGAGTTGGATAACCGTTGCTGGGTTTGATTGTCAACGTCAGGTGTGAATAGGGCACGAAAATATCTGTTGATTGAGAGGAATCAGGGACCATTCTTTTTATATACAGGAATAACTGTTTCATACCTCACGACCGGGCGGTCGCATCTCACGCCTCACACACTCCCATCCATTAATTAAGATGGTGTAATATCAGACTTCCCACACTGCAGGCGAGGTGCCATTGACGGTAAATCAATCGCCAGTTAACCCTGCACCAGCAGACCAATGCAAATGCGTGTGGTGTCTGACACCACGCGAGCGTAATTGGTAGATGTGGGTGCCTAAAGTGTTAAAATTTTGCGCGCACAGATTAACTGGTGCGGCAGGTAATTCTCACTCGTAACTCACAAAACTTCCTATAGTTCACTGGGAGTAGCACATATTATCATCATTACTATCGTTATCATTATTATTTCATGCTTGACCACAGTGTGGTGTCGTAAATCTGTCAATTGTCCCAAAAATGCTATTCGCTTCTGTTTCAATTGCATAAGTGCTTTTCTCGTGGTGTTGTAGCTATCTATATTCCCTGAGTTCAATTGCGGGCTTTTTTAAATAAATAAATGTCTTTTTACTTCCTTTTTCTATTTATTGAATATTCGAATGTACAGTTAACTTTCAGGAAGGGGGCTGCGGTCATTCAAAGGCTGCCTGGGGAAAATACAGATGTAGGAAAGACGGGCGGCGGTGGAGCGGTTTGAACCCGGGACACCCAGGTCACCAGTTGGTGACCTTACCACTTGGCCACCACCGCCCTTTTCACACTGTTTCATTATTTTATTTCTAAAACATTGTCTGATTTTCTATTATATTAAGTCTAAAGGACAAAGTAATGCAGATAACAAATTCAGTTATTTTGTTATCATAATCCTATCAGTAAAACCTTTTAATCTTAAGAATTTCTTGCAGCATAACGGGACGGTTGCGATCTCTGATAGCACTCGAAAACTCTATTGAATATGTTTTCCGGTCTATGAAACGGTTTCAAACCGCAAATTTTGATCAAATTATTTTCCAACCATTGCCATGTTCACATTCACAGTCCCCTTTACACACTTTATCACAACCAGAAAAACTACATTTCATCAAGGGTAAGATGAATTCGAGTAGTGTCAATCCGGTGCAACTGTGTATTACCAAGCAAGGCCGAAAAAACGCATAAAAAATAACGAACCGTGAATATGTCAGCATGACCAATCACAAAACGAGATGGGACAGAGTAGGGGAATTTAATTCAAATGAATATTTAGTCCTCGTTTATTCTTCATGAGAAATTTCCTTCTGCTGAGTTCTTTGTTTTTTTTGTCAAGCTGCTTTGGTTCATGGCACATCTATGGAGTAATTCCGCTTACATTAAAACAATCTCGCACAATTCATTCGAACTTTGAATGGTATAGGTCTAACGCTGATCTAACGCTGAGTTGTCCTGTTTTCTACTCCCCATCCCAATCAGTTTCATCATGTTAGACAGTCGAATGAACGGAGTTTTAGTTAGCAGCAATCACGCGCACCACCGGATAGGTTTCCTCAGCGTGTAATGTTTGCCAAGGCGGGTGATAAGTGAAAAAAGCCAACGATAATCAAACTATGACCAGTAGGTATACCGGTATAAAAATCCTGATCAATGAGGGTGGTCATAGAAACCAAATTCAACATCCTGGTTAGTGTTCTCGTAGTCAATCTAATCACTAGTTTGAGTCAATCAAGTGTGACTCTCGTGGACCTACTCATTTTATGCACAGATTTAGTTTAATTTCACCATCTCTGTCTCGTTATCACTTCTCGCTTTAAAATTCTTTCACTTCTTCAGTAGTCATGCAAAATAGGTAGCCGAAAAGCTGTATGGACGTATGGAAGTGGGAGTTTGATGCCTAGGAAAACTGAAACTAACTGTTCTCTAAGAAACTCACTTTATATATTCTCACGTGAATTATGTTTCAACTATTTGTCTCTCATTGATAAAAGTGCCAAATTGTTTTTATTATCCAGTTAGTTTTGTTCACATCGCTATTCGTATCCAAACTAAACTTGAAAATTTTTTTCACTTATCATTTTGAATGTTCCCGTTTTAGCTAGAACCAAGCACTCAGTCGATGGAGATTAATCGAACACTAGCCACATCGTCTCCCGCTCTGCCACCGTTTGAACGTGATGACACCGTTGCCTCGGGTGGTCTTGGTGTCGTTTGCGGTTCATTATCTTCATCATTCCCCTCTCCTCTGGCACGAGTGCACTTTGCAGAAACCCAACAATCGGTCCGTCAATCCACTCGTGTTTTAAGTACTGACAATCAACCATGCGCTGCTGGTTCATCCGTTTCCTTGTCTTCCGTGCCCGTAACCTCGTCCATGACCAATTCACCCGTACCACCGACCAGTAACGCGACCACATTTGCTACTCGACGCCAAATTGAGGTGGTTCTTGTGTACCAGCTTCCGCCACCACCAACACTACAGGCACTTGTGCGGCAGCGAATTCTACAGGTACACATCTCATGATTGCTTGTTTGAGTCATTAGAAATTGGTAGATGGTGAACTTGCGAGTAAGAGAGCAACCATGTGTGTGTGTGTGTGTGTGATTGCGTGTGACTGTAGTTACCAATGAAACTGTTCGATTCAGCTTTAGCAACCTTGCACTTTTGCTCAGAGGTCTTTATTGCTGTCTTTTGACTTCCCATTTCGACGAAGGAGAAGATCAGTAGAACATTAGTGTAACCTTTTGATTTGGTTAAAATGAGTTTCTGGGATAATTTTGAACTCATTCGCCCAGTCAATCCTATGTCAACTGCGGATTAACTGTTACAAGATTTCATCACTGATACTCCCAACGGTTTCCTAACGAGGGTAGGTAGGAAATTATGGGACAAGCGTCTTATCGTACGTCTGACATAACGTTCACTGCAGGCGCGATTGAGTATGAACCTTGAGCATAATTAAACTGAAATAGACGCAATCTCATGACCTTTATTACATTTGACCGGTAAAAAACGCATCTAAGATTGTCATTCTGTTAATTTAACAGTTTGACAAAGCTTCTATCTTATCTCTGTGTCGTTTATTGCCAATATAATGCTTCTCGATTGCTTTATGCAGCAATCAGCAGCTTACTATTGAAGCAAAGTTCAATTATGCTAATTCCTCATATGGACTGATCAGTTTCTGCCACATAGTTGAGGGGTCGAGTGTATGCCGCGACACTTAGGCCAGTTCTGCTATACAGGTGCAGAAACTTGGCCATTAAG